ATCCTCCGTTTTATGATCCATACTGCGGACTGAGATTTTTCAGCTATTAGCCACTATAAGGCTGCGGTACACTCACGGAACATCCGCCAAATCTCGATATTCTCAGTCGATACTCAGATCAGGTTTTTCTTTTTAATGAGGCGGGTGCAAATCTTAGATTTACCAAAGTTTACTTGAAGTTTACCTTGAGTCTTTTCTTTGATTCGTTAACGACTTGCTTTTCTTTCCCATAAAGTTCGGTTTAAAAATTGTCTATATGCACGACCTTTAGGTAAGAAAAGTAGGTGCAATCCAATTATGCCAACGTGCTTATTTAACATGAATCATTTTGACAAAAAAATATAAACTTTCCATAACTGCTACTAACGGTGTGTACTATGCACACAAATGGAAAGCTACAGAATCTTAGACTAATATGTTAATGCATATTTTCCCTGATCACATCCATCTATTGCTTGAATCATTTTGTCATCGTTTTCTATCACAGCTATTCTACGTGTGCTATCATATTCAAACGTTTTTTGGTTTTCATATATAGAAATTTGTTATGAATGCGGTGGTGTTGCACTGTGAATTGCCCATGGACAGTTTTACTGTTTAAAGCTTTAAGATTTGTTTAAACAAATTAACTTGCATCGCTTTCCGCGAAGTCATAGTTGCGTCACTTCGAAATAAACATGTTTATTTTACGGCAGCTTCGGGTATTCAGGCCCGTCATAAATTCGGTTAGATCGGTTGCTATGGTGGGCCCGGCGTATGCTAATTTGCAGGAGCCCATTGCACCAATACCGGGGAAGTACCCGGTCTGGTCATCCACGCCGAGTGAACTTTTTTCGGAGCTGAAGGATGGTATATTTGCGAAAATGACTTAAACACTTTAGATTCAATCGTTTTTATTCAGGGAGCTTCTGCCTCTCCAACCTTACTTACTAACGCTCTCCACGATTATGTTTTGGAGAAGAAACTTAAAAATATACGGATTTATCAGCATCTTCCTCTTGGTGACCTAGCTTACCTAAGGGACGATTCAAAGGGTCATTTTAAACTTTCAACAACTTATTCAAGTAAGGCCTTGTATTTTTTATGCTCAAGGTAAAAATTGCCGCGACGCCGTGAATGACGGAAGAGCCGATTTCATTCCCATACAGATCTCGGAGCTTCCGCTTCTTTATCGCAAACAACATGTGGAAATAGACTATGCTTTAGTTATGTTATCTCCACCTGATAAGCACGGATTTTGTACCTTGGGTAGTGCAATCGGCTCCGCCAGGTCAGCCGTCCAAAATGCCAAGCGGATTATAGGTAATCACCGCTTTGCTTATTTGACTTCAAATAGGTCAAATTAATCCACTAGCACCAGTGACATACGGCGACTCAACTGTACACATCAGCCGCCTAGATTATCTGTTTCATGGCCACCAGCGTCTTTCTGAAATGCCTATCCCAAATGCCAATGAAACTGAGCAAAAAATTGCCGCAATCATTGCCGAAAATCTTGTTGATGATGGCGCTACTATTCAGCTTGGTACGTTTTGCTCCCCTACCTTGCGACTTTTGGTTCTAATTAGGAACCGGGTGGGTTCGAATAGGTACCAGCATTAAAGTTTTCTGTATTTTTTTGAGAGAATCATACCCTTGTACAACATCAAGCTTAATCGTTTCCCTCCACCCCTTTAGCGAAGTCTTCGACTTTGCTTAAGTTACGGCAATAACGAAGAAAATAAGTTGATCTATAAACGCTCCTGGAGTATTATCAATTCCAGCTAACTACTAACCATCTTACTTTTTTTTATTCAGGCTTCGGCCGTATCCCGTATGAAGTCACCTACCGCCTTCGCAGTCACAAAGATTTGGGCGTTCATGCTGAAATTATTGCAGACGGGATTATTGATCTGGTGAACCTCGGAGTCATCACCAATCGTTTCAAACCCGTGCAAAGAGGACGCATCGTTACCAGTTACTGCATAGGAACTCAGCGTGTTTTCGACTTCGTTAATGAAAACCCACAAGTGTGTAAGTAGACTGCCCTACTGTT